AGATCATCCAGTCACAGCTGTATTATGTAACGATGAAAATTTGCTGCATGGTTTATTGGGTTGCCATGGCAAGGTGGCTTGGATGAAGCCGGAACATTAGACGTGTTATTACATTATGTAATATAAAATACCACGATATTCTTAACATGTTAACAGTAAACTATAGCTAGGGTCAACATATAACGCCGGGGGGGGGGGGGGGCCCAGCTGAACAGTTTTTTTTAGTTTTTTCTTTAACCCCCCCCGCCCCCCAAAAGAATTGAAATATGGGGGGCAGGTAGTGGGAGGCCACACCCCCCGGGAGAGCCCCCCCTTCGGGCAACCACAATTTTTCAACAGGGGTGTGGGTTTTTTTTCCCAGTAGGTGAATGTATGATGAATTGGTGGATAAATGTAACATAAAAAAAGATTATATTGAAAATAAAAAAAAAAAAATAGAACAGATATTTTATCGAAGGAGAAAAAAACAGAAGGGGAAGGGAAGAGGGAGGGGGGGGGGGGGGGGGGGGGCGCAGCTGATCAGTTTATTTATGATCTTACTGTAACCCACCCCGGCAGCCAAATGATATGAATGATGTGTGCAAGGTATAGGTAGACCACACCACCTGAGAGATGCCCCCTGTCGGGAACCTACAATTTTCGAACAGTGGTGTGGGTTCTTTTACGCCCGGTTCGATTAACTTGGTAATTTACATTGTGCAGATATTTCAACTGTGAATTACATACATTTCTAGCACAAATTGTAAATAGTTCTACAAATCTAAAAACAACAAGAACGCTCTTAGTAGCGTTGCGTCTCGCTTGCATGGAGCCCACGGGGCTTGGAGATAAGTTAATTGTTGTCAAAGGCGCTGGTGCTGATAGGCTACTTTTTCGTTTTGAATACAAAACGAGTGTTATATGTTATAATGCTAATACTCAAAACGTAAAAATTGCAAGGAGAGACAGGCCGCACATCTTGGCTTCACACAGGTGTGAAACCTTTAAAAACCATTTACATATATATTTTACACTCAAAAAATTGAACGATAATTTTTATCAGTATAAATATATGTATAGCTTCTATGTAGCGGACCAAGATGCCACTCGGAACAGTTTTTGTTCAGTTCAGGAAAAATGTTTAAGTTTTGCAGAACCTTATACAATAGACAGTCAATTCAGTCCGCGCGTATTCCCCTCAAATTTGTTGTTCTTTTTATAAGATATCAAAATCGCGTGAAAGAAGGTACCTTTTTCCATAGCTGCTTAGTATCTGCTTTTGATATCTCGGCTTACAGTAGATGTTTACGGGATCCCAGAGTACAATTTTTAGAGCTGTACACAGAACGGCATTTTATCACAGTATCACTGGGATAAAGCTTTTCATTTTCCAGGAAAATCTAACTTTCTCGTCAAAACATTCACTGACTCAGTCAGACTCGGAGTAGTTTACTTAAATTTAATGCTCAGTACAGCTAAAGGGGTTATGTTCTGTGAAATTTATCTACAGTACATTTACGGTCCACAATGACATCACCACGGTCCACGATTTAATTAAAATTTCAGATATTTCAAGTTTTTGTAACCGATCCTCGATCCTTTTCCAATAAACCTTTTGCTCATTAAGATTGTTCTTTTTTTCGACCACTGAAGTAATCACTTGTTCTAAAGTAATCAACGCTTTCAAGCAATAGAATACGTGGACCGACCCGTTCCGGTAAAGCTCGATTTCTATTCTATGGACATGGATCGACACGAAGTGCTGCAAGTAGAGTGCGTGATAGTCAAGTATAAAGTTACCCTTATAAACACATCCGTGGCAGATACGTAACGTCAGATGAATAGTTGAAGCTGCTTCCAGTAGTAGGCGAAGGTTAAATCATTGATATCTCAAGTATTTATAAAGTGCAAAGCGACGTCACATCTTAACAAATGCGAAAATCTATCAATTAAATACTTTCAACAAAGTGAATCTATTTAACCGTAGAGTTACAGTAATTGCTACAATATTCTGAGAAACGTAAGGCCTCGATACACTACAAAACAGGATTTCCCCGCTATAATGTTTCCTCATCGAGGTATTTACTTCTTAACACGCGTGCATAATTACACCAAAATCAAGTGCCTCAAATCGGGGAAAATTGCATCATTGCCAAACAGCCGGCGACTAAGGTCATCAACTTACATGCGTCAATTCAGTCATCGCCGAATCGAATAAGCCGCATGCTCATCACGAGACTCATTTGCATACAATGAAAGTCGTCACAATTCTTGTCCCCAGTTCCCACGGTCTCCACTGGGAACGCCTGGGAGAATGGCCTCCTAATTGGTGCCCACCCCGGGAAGGGTACTTGGGTAAAGTTTTGCTGTGTATGTGCCGCTGGCCTCCCAGAGCCCCTGCACTATTATAGTCTATTCTGTGAACAATTATAGACCCCATCTTAGTCACTTTTGGGAAATTATGTAATTTTCGCGATCCCAACTTTGTCACTTTCTATTTTTATGAATTCACCCATTTTTTAAACATGTTAAACTGTATGAAGAACACTTTACTTTTCACCCACAGTACAAACATTCTGCTACATTTCCTAACCGTAAATATGAAAAAAAATCTGAAAATGTGAGACCCCATTCTAGTAATTCTATTGAAAATGCGACCCCATTATAGTCAATCCAGTTGTGAAAATGCGACCCCATCCAGAGGCACATCCCGAGCCTCTTATAAGGAAGTATCCCCCCCCCCGGGTTCCCACCGACAGAAAAAATAAAAAATAGAAACGCCGGCATTTTTATAGTCTCGCTCTGTTAAAGCAAGCTCTACTAACAACAACATGCTAAACAAATTACTAGGGAACGCCGAGGAAACGCCTTCTGAAACAAATGTGTTTACAGAAGATGGATTTCTAAAAAGGTGGCCGCTCGTTCCATAATTTGGGGGCAGCCATGTAAAAAGATCGATCACCCAGCGTGTTTAAAGACTTGCACGTTGGGATGTTAAGAAGTATATATGCCATTGTATGATCTATTGTTATGTTCACACGGAACCGTACGATGTTTTCGATCTCCACACGAAACTGACGAACTGGGTTGACTTTTAAACAATTATAGGACGAGGTTTTTGTGATATCAAGAATAATCAAGGTCGATCGACAGGTAACTGTTATCAGCCTCGGCCTTCTGCTCTGCTGAAAACACTTACTGAGATATTGATTATTGCGGATATTACTAAAACCGAATCTATTAATTGTTTTATTATACATTATTTTGAAGAAAAAAAGGAAAAACACAGCATCGCATGGAACATTTTACATTGCTCTTGAAAATTACATGTATGCATTGCGCGCGTAAGCTACAGATTAGTCACTAATCTGTAAGCAGATAACTAACTAATCTGCAATTTGCGACGCTGATTTCCATGGCAAAATTAATAACTTTTGTCAGAGGTTTTCGACCATCTGCCCATTTAGCGGTTATATGATTAGATTCAATGGGTCAAAAACACCTTGGACATCTTGTCACGGAAGTATACGGAACCTAGTATCACTTCAGTTTCGAGCACTGACGGCGGTGATTAAGGTTAAGCACTGAAAATAGTGATTAGGCCGGGTTAAGCACTAACCATAGTGATTAAGGCCTGAACAATGACTCGGAACAGTTAGCTTCCAGTTAGTGTCAGGATTGTTGCTATATAGCTTGACAAATCAAACATATTCTAGCAAAAAATGCTCAGTGGCGTAATGTTAGGGACGGAACATTATTATTATCATTTTGGGGGGGGGGTGGGTGGTGATCTAAATTTTGGGGGCACAAACACTTTTTTTTTGTGTCGTCGTCTGTGCAAACTATGTTTTTCCAACAAAACTGAATTAAGGCTGGCAATACGGCAAAGGGTTTATTTATTTGAGGCAAATATTTCGGATCGCAAAATCAGCCTTCCTCACGGCCAGAACTACACATAACGCCTCCTAATATTTGGAATTTAAATTTTATATAAGAGGTTAATGATTAACTAAAAATAAGAACAATAGAAAGCATGATAGATGGCGTAAATAATTAAGGTACAGTTCACGTTCGTCCTTGCGTGAAACAGTTTTGCCTCTATTATGAGGTAAGCTTCTCTTGTTTTACGTCGTGACATACTATAAAGTGTAAGTCGAAGTTCAAGTGGAATAAGTTTTATTTCAGATCATCATCATTCTGCAAACACTTTATTTTTTGCCTCGACAGTGACCTCCGTCGGTTATTAATGGGTAACTGCACCTTTCTAGTACGAGTGTTGTTGGAAGTTACAATTAACAAAACAATATATTCACCCCGTTGATGAATGTTTTTTAAAAAACATGAACCGCTACAGCACTTTAAACGGAGAATGAAGCCAAAAAGTTGTTAACTCATCGCTTGCTCCTCCTTTGGACAGTGTTTTTGATAACTCAGGGGTACAGCGCGAGAGGCCCATTTATGATTTACTACTTCCTACACTTTTTGGCCAAGTGGAACCATTCATGATGAACTGTGCGATCTTGTATCATTAACCTCAGCGAAAGGGGACTTGGGCAAACCTGAAGCCCCCCAATAGTCACGACGGCTCATGTGGAGCCCGTACGCGTAATAACGGAAAAGTGTTTCCATGGCAACGAGCGAAGGAGGACCTGAACAGACATCAGCAGTCATTCAAGCCAGAGTGTGTTGAAGCGAAAGTACAAAGCATTGATGCATCTCTATCGCCATGATCAAATGCCTTCTCTGCTCTTTTTTCCCCGTTCCCTCTTTTGAATTTTTGATATCACTATATAATTCACGAAAACAAAAAAATATTATTTATTATCCTTACTATTACAACCTGTTGGCTATTATTATCTAAGAGGATTAAAAGCCTCTGTTTGGTTAATGACTGCTCTTTAGTTCATTTTCCATAGTCCCTGGTAAAATAAATCGCAAATTGTTTACATTATTATTCCTATTTTCTAGATATATTTTAGGAAGTTCAGTTTTACCGTGCCATTTTTTTTCCTTGCTTTCATATGGTTCACAAGGAATGCACGGAGAGGCTTGTTCTTTCTGGAAGGTAAATATAAAACCTGCTTAGTCATCACGCGCTGCTCTTTAAATTCTGTTCGAGGCCAACAAATATTGAAAGTATTAACGTTTGTCATGTCGGATAAAAACGTTATAAATGTGCAATGCCAAGATCTGTTTAGTTGTTAGGCCAAGTAACAACTAATGCCTTTATTTTTGTGTTATCGTATAGTTTCTTTCCTTCAAAATCGTCAGTCTTATCACGACGTAACATTTTTTGGGTAGGCGGACATGTCCCATGTACCGTGGTGATATCGGTAATAATGATGCTGACCAAGTGGCCGCGGAAAACACGCCACAGCAGAGTGACAGTAATGGTGACCTGGCGACTGCAGAAAATACGCCCCAGGAGACTGACAGTAATGATGACCTGGCGACTGCGCAAAATACGCCACAGCAGACTGTTCCCTCTAAAACGTCTTACGTTAACTGGGGTCTATGTGTTAGATTGTGGACAAGCACAAAGAGCTGTTTGTCAAGGAAGTTCGAGCGTCAGTCCGTCGATACAACATCAGAAGACAGTGAAACATCATCGGAAATTGACGCCTTTTAAATGATAGTGAATCCTGGGTAATCGAGAGCGTCTTTAGCAAAAGGGACCATCAACGATAGTGTTGATTGTACAGTCAATTATACTGTTGATTAGGTCCATGTGCAACAGCGGTGAACTCTGTAACTTGAACATTTGTTTAACATACGAATCTCAAACAAAAACGTTTTGTATCCGTAGGCCACTTAGAAAATCCAAACTGTTCTTTTACGCACTGGTTTTGGCCTGCTTTTAGCCAATTTTTAGCCTTTTGACTCGAACTTTAGAAATTTTATCTTTGTATTCTTCGAACAGTTATCAGTTACAGAATAAGTCGTTGGCTGCCCCTGATTTCCGCCTTAGAAAGGGTTCCTAGAAATTCGAATTCAAGCAAAGTCGAAAAGTCCATTTTCCAAGGCTGGTCCATTCTGAAATTCTATTCACTGAGCAACTGGCTATACGTAGCCCTTAGTACCAAAATCGAAGAGAAATGGACATTTCTACCTCTCTGTAACGAATTTTTTATTGTAAATACCTCATTTACCTCTTCAGCCAGGGCTTTTTAGGGATCGACTTGTTAGGGGTAGTTTGACAGACTGCTTATGGTACAGTTTAAAACAAGTAAAGAAATGATCGGTAATGACGCCTCCTAATGTGTGCGCGAATTTGAGATAGACCACCATGGTCACCAGGTTCTATCAACAAGCCTCATTGTTTGGTTAAAGGCTTTAACCTCGCCGTCCCATATCCTTGGATAATCAGGTCACGTGTAGGAGCTGAATCTATATCTCAGCAGGCGTGTTTACAGCCATATTTGGTGCGTGATGTTGGCTGGCTTGCAAGACAACTCACAAACAAAGCTCCCTGCATGCCGCGTCAATACTCACCCTGCTCAGTCTGCAATAACGCATTTTAGTGAGGACTAGTGTTAATAAACCTTTGGTCTTAAACTAAAAATTACGTCAATCATGTTTGCTCTTATACAGCAACCAGTGTACTGAGCGCACTGAGTTAGCTAAAACATAAAGAAATAACTAATTGTGTTGTAATGTATAAACGCGCAAAGGGTACCCTACGTTGAAACTCTTATTCCAAAGACTGATATCGACAAACCAGCCTTAATCTTCCGAGTGATCTTCCTGTCCAGTTTGAAACAAGACTACAGTACAGCACAGTACACTACAGTACAGTACAGTTAAAATCTTCTATATGGTAAACCTGTTACCTCGGAGTTGCACTGGCGACTACACGGTCGACCAGTGCAGCGAAACCAGTCTTAGCTTGTGTAAACCTCTTTGCGTGCTCAATGCAGACATTTTAGCGATATTTTTCTAAGGGTCCCATATGGACGCCTAGACTTCGCAAACAGCATCTTCTTTGTCAGCGTGGTGTTTGGACAACGGCAAAAATGACCAATATATTTAAAATATATTTTAAATATTGGCTCTTGATCACATCTCTGAGACTTTTGTTTTTGTTATGTGTAGAATGTCTGTGTTGGTGTATCAGAGTCTGAATTCTGTATTCTCTGTGTCTTTAGGAGTTGGGAGTCTGACAGTTTCAAAGTCGCCACCATAACACAAACACCTTAAATGAACCAGGGTACTGAGCGGATTGAGTTAGCTAAAGCATAAAGAAATAACTAATTAATCTACCTCTCGGTGGTCTGGTTGATGGTTCGGTCAGGTTTTTTGAGAATGGGACACCCAAGCGCTATCTCAGTACCATAACTACAACAATTGCTTCCCTCTCCCCTCCTAGGAGGCTCCCGCGGGGTATCCCCTAAAAAATAATCGAAAAAATAGCAAGCGCATTGGGGACGATGACACAGAGAAACCTCTACAGAGGAGAGAGTGAAATTCCCATAACAGGCAAGGTCGGCAAGGAATTGAATCAGCAGGTGTAAAAGTCATCAGTGTATTTCATACCTTTGTCATACTTCTATAATTTCTTAAGGAGCTCAAAATCTTTGTGCATCCGCGTTCTTAGAGTATTTCTCATTCACAGCAATTTAATTTTCAGTAACCTCAAATTACTCACTTAAGATCATTTCAAGCTTTGTAGCGCCAAAAGCCAAGTGTTTATCGAGATGTAATCAGTCCCAATTTTTAGACTTCATAAGTAAGGCTTAAGGCCAAACTCTTCCTAAAAAACGATCATTGTCAGTAACACTAGAAACATAGATACCTAATTATTTTTAAATATCTGCACGCGATTATTACTATAATCAGTAACGAACAGTCTGCCATCAGATGCTACAACAGCGTCTTGAGGTTTGTCAAACTGTCCCAACTCTCTGCCTCTGGAACCTATTGTGAATGCTTTTCCGTCCGTGGTAAAAACGTGAAGCCGGTGATTTCCGCTATCGCAGACAACAAGATTTTCTTGGCTATCTATAGCCATTCCTCTTGGATCTCTTAACTGTCCTTCACCGGAGCCTTTTTCGCCAACCCTGTACAAGAAGCCGCCGTCATTCTTGAATACTTCCACACAATGCGTATCGAATGTGACGAAGTACTTGCCATTGTGATGAATGATGTAATACGGTTTGGCTGAAAAGCTACTGCTGAATTCTTTGATCAGCTTTCCTTGTTGTGAGAATTCTTTTATGGATGCACTCCCCCAATCACACACAGCAATTTTGCCCTCTGCTGTGACGCAAACTCCCCACGGACAATCCAGTACTTTGCTTCCAAACGTCTTTAGGGTCACGCCAGATCGATCTATGACATTTACCATCTGATTGTCGCTGTCGGAAACCACAATGTTACCCTCGGAATCAAAATCGACTCCAACTGGATTTGTCATATCGTAGCTACCTTCCAACTGAGTAACAAACTTTGCGTGTCGGTTGAAAACAAGAATACGACGATTCCATGAGTCGGCTACAACAACCTCCCCAGAGGGACTCGCTGCAATCCCACATGGCCGTTTGAGCTGTAGACTGTTTTGATTGGAGGTAAGGCCAAATGATATCAGGGGTTTGTATTCTTGAGGTCTAGCGGCGTTTTCCAAATCTATCCGACTAGCTTTCAGATACTCCGCTCTTGTAGTAACGTGAACTGTAAAGGGATTTGCTTTAATTGGCTCGCCACGAACCCTGGCGTCAATCTGGTAAACGCCAGTCTTTAACGGTGTGTAACTCACCACGTAACTACCGTCTTTCTTGTCCTCGATTCTTGTGGGAATCGCCGTGCCTTGTTTTGATTGGATGCGCACTGTAACGCGATCGTTTTCAGAATAACTCGGTTTGCAATCGGAGTCTTTCGTGTAAATTGTAAACTCGATTCTTTCTCCGGTACCAGTGAGATGCTGAGTCATGTGCTCGCCCTCAGCTGTACAATTCCCAGGGTCGGTGTGGCTAACGAAAATTCGCCCGAGCTCAGATTCCTTAAGAGTCCTCAGAACATTCCGATCAGGGATGTAGTCCACGTTAATGCTCCTTTGAGACTGTGATAATGTATTCGTTTTCATTGTAATAAGCTGCTGAAAGCGTCTCTTAACAGGCCGCTCCATGTCCAATATTTCTCCCCCAATGTCCCTGTCCAGAACGTCTTTAGCATACTCATGAGCCCTCTGCATTTGACTTAACTGCAGCTCCAGCTCTTTACGATGCTTTATTATGGAAACTTGCTGATCTCTGTAAATACCCTCCAATTCAGTAAGAGTAGAGTCACAGTGCTTTCTTAGAAAACCAATGAGTTCTTCAATCTTCCTCTGTACTTCCTGCCTCGCTGTGATCACTCGCCGCTCCACAGTCTTGTAGCTTTGGTCTACGCGCCTGATATCTTCGCGGCAAGATAACATTTTATCTTGCAAATCATCCATGGCATGACATATACGCTTCTTGCTTTCTCTGCTCGCTTGGCTGATCATTACCACGTTATGACCCCTGTGCGAAGACGCGGAGCATTTGTCGCAAACCTGTTTCTCACAGTCCTTGCAAAACTGATCCAATGCTTCCATCTTGTGTCCTTCTTGGGTGCACGAGAGAGGAGCTTGTATCAACGACGAAAGATCTTTAGCCGAGAAATCCTTTAGCTCAATAATGCGGTGAAGTTTCATCACTTTAATTCGCTCGTGTACTTCAACACAACTTACACACACGAAGCATTTACAATCGGAGCAATAAGAAATAGCGGCTGATTTTCGATCACAGCTTCCACACGCCAGCTCAGGATTGTTATTTCGTATCTTTAGCATTTCTTGCAGTCGAATCAGGTACATCGGCGAAGGAAGGTTTTCAATATTTACACCGTCAGGCAACTCAATTGGGGCTTTACATAACGGGCACCTTGTTGTTTCTCCTCCTAGATTTGCCATTTCTAATCGACGAAGGCAGCCGCTGCAATAACTGTGGAGACATGGTAGGGTCTTGGGATTGTTTAAATACCCCTTACAATAGTAGCAAGTAAATTTGCCTTTAAGGTTCACGATAAATTCGGTTAGTGTCACCGTCGAGGCCATTATTATGCCGTTTTGCATATGTAAATGTTATTTTACAATTCAAGCGTTTACCTTGAGGTCACCAATACTAATTTCAATGGAGTTCTTAGCAATTTTGCATATTAAAGATACGGAATAAGTGGTCTATTTTCTCGACTTTCTGTCACCAGCTTCAAGTTTTGGCTGGTTTGATAAAAAGAGAGCAGATAAGTGTTATTAGTAAAGATGCTAGTTTTATTCACTTCACTTAATTTATTAGTTTAATTGAAAACGAGAAAGTTCCAAACCTCTGAGCATTTTTCTCACGCTATTTCTTAACTTAGTAACGGGCTATTAAAGCAAATATTTACCACTCGAATGTCCGCTCGACTGCCTCAGTAATCAGCCAAACTTTCTCTAAAAATTGTCTTAAAATTAATTTTAAAATTTATCCACCAAAAATCAACCGTTTCTTTTACAGACACTTCCAGACTGTTTCAGGTGAAAATTAAATTTCTAATAGCAGACAAAATCTTAGCCTGACGAAAATTTATGAAAAGAAGTTGAACAGGAATGTAAATGGAAATTTAATAATCTCTTTTTTTGATTCAACAGAAAGCTGCTATCTTTTAAAGTGTTTGATATATTATAATAGGCAACAAGGAAAAATACTCTGCAGCACAAGAATAAACATGTGGCTAAGACTTTCAGCTAAGAGGGTTTAAAACACCTGCAACTAACGAGAACGTCACTAGTTCTGTTCTAAGGAAGAAGACTATATTGCTGCAAGTGTAGTTCCATAATAGTATCTACAGAAAAAACGACACTCTCTACATCAGTTGGCATTCCGTACATTTAAATGTAAATAATATAGTATTAACAGGTCCTATGCAAATTTTGCTTAATATTGTCTTGCTATTAGGCTGATTAATTTTCATTTAAAACTAATCCGAGACAAAACAAACTTCGCTGCCTTTCTATGTCTAATTGCTGATGTTGACGGTATAAATTTCGTACACGCGATGTTTAGAAGAAAAGAATCAGTCCTGGCTTAGCTTTAGATCAAAATAAGCCGATCTTGCTAAATAGATTGCTCATTAAATAAAGAGTTATACTTAAAAATCACTATAAGATAAGGGAAGTTGGATAATGCAAAGAGTTCTTGTCTGGACATGGACTTAGAGTTTTTTTTTTAATTTTGTAGCAAATGCAAACGTCAACTACAACTTAAACAGAGCGAAAAAACGATATATCGATAGTAGGCAACAAAATGTCCCTTAAACTCGCGTCTTGCCAGTCATCCATGTAATAGATCCTTTTATCGATACGAGGACATGTCGAATAAATGATGGGATGCCTGAGGCAACAGTGTATTTATTGTCTCAAACGAGATCCGTTTTGTCTCAATACAAAGATGATCTTTTATCAGATAGGCAATTTTTGTGTGATATTTGAAGATACACGCGATGACTGTCAGTTTCCCGAAAAAAATGGTCATATTCATAGATCACAGCCCAAACATTTTCTGTAGCTATTAAATCATATGGAAAAAATATGTGAATGGGCCTTTGCAGCTAAACACCTTACTGGGAAGCAAACGACGCAGTAGAATCTTGCAAGAAAGGAAATTAGGGCTGCAAAAGGCCAATTGTCAAGAAAAAAAAAAGCGTTTTATGGAAATACACATAGCCTTACCCACCCAACCTTCATCGTAATATTATTTAATTCAATCGCCGCAGTAGGTACAAAATGTGTCATAAGCACTGTACTAGTTAAAGTCCTAAGGTTCGACAGTGCTACAAGGCAGTATAACCCTATACTCTTTCCAGAAGAGTAGTAAAGAAGACTGGACCAATGAAATATTATCCCGAAAACCTACGCTAAACTGCACAAAATCACGTGACTCAGTTGTTCCCTAATGAGTGTTCAGCGCATTGGACTTGCACACCGTGGGCTCTGATAACTTTTTGGATTTCTTTCAAAGATTTACATTTCGGTCTGAGCGCGTTCAAACCATCGGCTACGATAGCAGTTACCTCCTGTCAGTTTACACTTTGACTCATTAAAAGCACTGTTTTTAAGCTGTGTTTCTGTGTGATTCCTGACAGACTTGGCTGTTCTGGATTCGCGATCAAGGCGATTGATAAATAATGGTAATTGAACTGGATGGAGTGCAATTTTTGTCTGAAATTATACGCGTAGCACGCGTGATTTAAGAATCAGACGAGCGCGCAGCGCGTGCTCGACTTGAAATCATAATAAAAAATTATGATTCTAGGCCAAAGTTGCGCGACATGACTTTATTACAGCCATTTTGAAATCACAGAATTCAGTCAGTACCAATATATATTTTACCCAGGAGCCAGTTTGTTGAAAAGCGGAAACAAAAAGGCTTAAAATCTCATTTCTAACCAGGAACAGAAATGATGCAATATAGAGCGAAAATGGTGTAATTTAAAACAGAAATGACGTGATTTGGAACATGAATGACGCGATTTGAAACAGAGGTGATTTAGATTAAAATGAAAATGGTTATGAAACCCGTTAGACTTCTTTGTTTATGTTTTCGTTCACTTTTTGAAGTTACTGACCAATAGAAACATCGCATTAATTTATTTAGTCACAATTTGTGAATAAAAAAACAAAGAGTTGTACACGGTCAGGGAGCTTCCAACATAACCCACAGCCCCGTTGTTTTCAACTTTGTTTTTTGCCGGCTTTCATAACCAGTCTCCTAGAGCAAAGAATAGTGTGATTCGTGAATAAATCACACTGCTGAGAGCCAATCCGATTGCAGGAATCACCAGTGATTTCATGATGGACATAATATATGGAGTAAGTCTACGTATTTCTGTTCCCATAATGTACAATATATATATACCCACTTGACATAGTTACTCAGCTTCTTGATATAAACCGTATATAGTAGTCTGGCCGGGAGGGGGGAGGGGTGGGGAGGGTGCCTGCTCCCATGTATGGGTTATATAGGTATGACCGGCCCCTGTATTAAGGCCACTGTGAAAGGTATGGTTTCCAAGCATGTGCAATTTTGTCTGTAATCGAGTATAGAAATATGAGAGTTTGGTTCTTGTATATTGGGTATCATTTGGCGGGAAACTTATCAATTTTATAGGGATTTTGGGAGCGTAGTCCAGTATAGAGTAGCAACCAGGTTTGGTATAATCTAACATCCCCACCCAACAATTCCTACAAAACTCCCCAGGGCTCTACATTCTATTTAAATACGGATATGGTTGTCTTCTATTACCTTTTTTGACCAAAACTACTGTACACTTTAAAGTACGGACTTTTAAAGGGCGGCAATTATTCCAGTCTTCGTTAAACTGAAATGGCGGAAACGATGGGTTTTTATTCTAAAACAATGTTCTTTGTAAATATTAAGTCATTTGCATAATCGCATTGGAATCGCTTTCGCGTCGTATTGCAATTTCGATTTAAACCATTTCAAATGCAGGACTATTTATTTTTCTCGTTTGCGCGCTTACATTGCAAAAGACATCAAAACTACTAATTTTCAGTTAAGAGTATATCGAGTACAAGCCATAAGCCCATATGAACAGGTGAGTTTTAAAACTTCAAAATCAGCATACATTCATTGTATAGTTTTGCCAGTTTTTGATGCCCGATCTCGGCTCCACCCGTCCTCTCCTGAAACTACATGCTGTCAGAAATCGTATTGAGACTGGTGAAATTAGTTGAAATAAAAATGGACTGCATAATAACACGCTTCTTGGACAAAAAAAAATCATGTAACTTAGTTCAATTCAGTGTTATGACGTTTTCTGTAGCTTTCAGTAGTATTCTTGATGTTACTTGCACAGTGTTTATTTATCCTTTCTGGTGGTAATTATTATATCTGACACTGGGATGTCGGAAGAAGAAAAGACGGAACGACAGAAATTAATTAAAAACGCACTTAAGAGTCATCAAGGAATTCGGGAGCTGAGCCAGAAACCAGCTTCTTACGTTTTCAAAATCAGTTTTGTTCAAAGGGGCCGGACTGAGGTCTAGCACCCACCCTCCAAAAAAATGTCACATTAATGACGGATGGAGAAAGCAACGAGTGTTGAAATGATAAAAGGGTTTGAACGCTTTGGAATAAAAAAGTTCCATCCATAACTGCAACACTAGTAATGTTGCGGAAACTCGTCACCAGCAAAATACCCATTCGGCAAATTCGTTTATCAATGTCAAATAATGTTAAAATCAATATATTAGCTCTGAAAAGACGACTATTTTTTTAGCGAGGTGTTAAAAATTCGTAGAGGATATACAAATTTAAAGAATCTAATAAACCATTTTACGCGGGGTTTAGGAAAATCTCGTCGTAATTTCCGGTTTTCAGGCGCGGTTAAGGATATTCGTAAAAATTTGCAGAAAACACCGGTTAAACATGCGACTTGCGTGATCCTGAAGCAGCCTTTATCGCTTGCCGTCCGTTTTAATTTGTGGTGGTGATTCTTGATTTCATTCTTAAGCAAACGAATCTTGCCTAAAGAAAAGATGGGTTATAGAAGAGGATATAGCAAAGAGGCAAATAATCATAAAATAAAATGCTCGATTAATTTCCCACTGCATCTCAGAGTCTTGTTGCTAATTACCAAATTCAAATGCCACTTAGTCAGCTCCTCAAAAAAGAGTCAGCTTCGATTTTCATTATCTTTGTCTTATAAGGGTAATTAATTTTTTTTCTTGAGACCCATTTGTAATATAAAGAGACTAATCAAGGAACTTTTTTTAAAATGTGTTATATTTTTATGACGTTAATAAACTAAAAATACCACCAAAAGAAAAGGCGTTCAAAACTCTTTACTGTTACTTTCTTTTTCGCAAAATTTTGGTTTCATTATAGTTCAAAAGGATTACATTCGCGTTTAATACGCAAGTCATAAATAAATTAGTTATTTCAAGTCACGGTTTACAGAAGACTGCCATAGATGATTGGTCTGTGCTAAATTTTGTAACTCTACTTGAGTTTGCTTCTTCGGCCTGAAATTCCAAATGTTTAGTTTGTGAACAATACGAATTTGACAGATGACAATAGGACGAAAACGGCAGGTAGAAGTACTCATATAGTCTTATGACACACAGCCTAAAAGCGTCAGTGTCAGACGAAAATTGAACTAGGTTTTGAATCCATCGATAAACAGAAAAGGTCTCACGAAAAGTGAAGGAACAAAGTTGAACGCATCTTAGAAGTAGCGTAAGAGAAACGTGTGACTTGCCCAAACTTCGATATTTTAACAATGGAAAATCAGTCGCCAGAGACGTACGCCAAACTGACGATTTTCACTGGAATTTTTGCTGTGGGATTTACGGGTAACCTGCTGACCATCATCGTAATTTATCGAAAGGGACAGACTAGATCTCCTTATCAACTGCTTGTTCTAAACTTGGCTTCCTCAGATTTACTTTTCATCCTTTCTGCACCACCGACTGCATCGTACGAGATGTTTGCAGTGATTGGCAAGTCCCAGTTTTATTGTCGAGTTGTAATGCCTATGGTGACTATGTTTTATTTTCTGAGCATATTCACTATCACTTCAATGGCGATTCAACGCTGTCGTTCCATCGTATTGCCTTACCGACCAAATTTGAGTAAGAGAATGATGTATGCTTGGATTGCAGCAATTTGGTTTCTTTCATTTATCATTATACTACCACTGGCCATCGTCACTGAGTTGAACGAGAAAGGCCAGTGTGAAGAGAACTGGCCAAGCTTTAGTCATAGACAAGCTTACACGATGGCACTTTTTCTACTCCAATATTTGATTCCGCTTATTATAATCGCCACTATCTACGTGAAAATCGCAAGGCGCCTTTTGAGCGCCGAAGTCTCATTAAGTCGTGCGCGCAACGCCAGTTTTACAACAGAAGAACAAAAGGCTGCAGAAGCGAGAAGAATCAAGACCAGAAACCAAGCTATCAGAACTTTAGCTGTCGTTGTTATCGTATTCGCAATTTGTCTCTTTCCGGGTCAAATCTCGTGGCTGTTGATGGATTTTGGTGGCGGTGGAAAAGCTTTAGAAAAAGCAATAGCAAGTCTCCTAGCTTTTTCTGACGTTCTGGATATGCTACATGCATGTGTTAATCCTGTTATCTACTGCTTGCTAAACGAACGTTACCGCAAAGAATATATTAATTGTTTGGTTTATTTATTTCCGTGTAATCGTGAAAATAATTAGAGAGCGAAAAACCTTCACTCGGCAGAAGGAATAAAAAGTATTCGAGTAACATAACAAAAAACAAGGAGAGATTAAAAGAGAGCAAATTTTAAAACACTGCTTTATCGTCTGTTATTATTTTATTTTATTTTTTTCCACATGCGATTCCAAAAAACTTAATTTTTTCGTTAAATCTGTATTTTTTAGGCCACTTTTGATTATTTCCTCGAAGGTATAAATTAGTGATCCCTGTTAAAAAAAAAAGGTCTCCACTATTTTTCCCACAGTAAAACATCCGCCGATATTTTGTAAAATGAATTCTCTCTTGTTTTCATTTTTTTACCCACGCCCAATAGACAGTAAAAAGACAAACAGATTGTATTCATACTGAATGATATTAGTGACTGTAGAAACCATTTTCCATTAGTCTGTACAATATCGATCACTTTGTAAGGACTGAAAAATAAATACTAATTGACATTGATCACTAGGGCGAGTATGACGACATAAAATATAATATGTTTTAGTCTTCTCTGACATTTAGGTTTTAGTTGAGTTAACAATGGTCACGGTTTTAAGGTGAGTGTACACATTTGGGAGACTCCTGCCAAAATTTAGCAAACAGACTGACTTAAAGACACCCAGGATCTTAACAATACATTTAGGAAAATGGTACACTTTCAATCTTTTTACTGATTTAATTCTTTTTTTTTTTCTATCTTGGCATGAGTGAGAATCCGGCACTATGTAAACAAGCTTGACGCCTTCATTTCCTATTTCTTTCAGAAAACTTTGTTAAGGCCGGTCCGGGGATTTCGCTTTACATGTTTATGCCGTAACGAAGAGCAAATGCGACAAATATGTACACATGCAGATGGGAACATTTCCTTTTTCTGGTGTACGATTCCATGACAAATGTTTAATTTCAAATGTCCTTCTCCTCAAGGTTCACTTTCAACTTTTCAGTATGTTAGTGCTCCGTTCACTGATGATTTAAAATTATAAAAGTACGTCTTAAACAATTGAGCTAGTTTTAAACGTGTGCAACAAAAAATCAGCCCAAACTTTACCCATACTGTTATCAGTGGTCCTTAACTTCTCTTGTGTTTCAAAAAGTGGCCTTTGAGCTTCAATTAGGCTCGGTAAATTAGATAGGTAGAACTACAACTTACCGTTCTTTTGCTAGAACGCTTGACTGCAGCGGCGGGAAGGCGCAGGTTCGATCCCAGGGCCTTCAGAGTCGCCAGACTAACACTCCCGGCATATGTAGGCAATATAGGTGACTTGTGCTTAAAGGCAACTTTTTGTTAAAAAAATTTCTTTTGCTAAAAATGATTATGATTTGAATGAAAAGAAGGCTTCAGTGATCCACTAAAACAAGATTTCCGAACCAAACTCAAGCCTTTCCCGACTCTACAACTCTTCTCTACCGCGCACGACGAAGGGATCTAGTGACCAGAAATGTATTCATCCCTACTTTGCTTTTGCGAGTGTATTGCATATTTAGGTAAATTTCATAAATTGAATAAGTGCCGCATCTTACCAACAACAGTGCAGTACTCGTATATTTTCATTGTTTTTTAGCACTTGTTTAGATATGACCGATGAAAAGGGGAAAATTAAAAGACCTTACAACTATATTTTGCCAGGTTATGAGCTCCCGTTTTTGTTACATTTCTTCTGCTGTTCTATCGTTTGTTTTAACGAACAATGGAAAAAATGTGTATGGTAAAAAAAGTCTATTTTTTATGTTTTAGGTTGTCGAAGAAGCATTTTTAATATTTTAATTTTCATCTTAACCCAAGGCCTCTGAGTAATCCCTATAGTATTTTTGTCTTTGCTTAGACGTTTGTTGAAATAATGAAAAGAAGATAGTCTGTCTTTCCCCACTGCTTGTACCACAGCTGTTTCGGATAACACGTCTTTGGATTTTGGGTTTTTCTGCGACGTCAATCAAAATCTGAAGGCTCGGCGCTTTCTCAGCGGACCCTTAGGAAACAGAAGTTTACTTCAAAGGATTCAAAAGGTCATGGTTTGCGATTTGTGATTGGTGGATTTCGATACTTGTTGCATGTTTCGGTGTTTCAAAGTTTGTTGCTTTGTAACTTCATAGTTCGCCTGTTTTCACGTTTTAGCTCTCAAGTTTTTTTAGCTTCTTTCTGAAACATGGCAATTTTAGATTCCCAAGGTGAAATTGTTCCTATAGACCCTCCAAATCCAGAAAAATCACAGATATTGGAGGGTACAAATGAATCGGTACGTTCCCGCCAACATTTAATTTTGCATCTTCTGCTCGTTATTGCAGCCCTTATTTGACAAGCAAGGATTGGATGCCATGGTAACGGTTTGATTGACGTCGAAGAAAACCGGAAATCCTGACACGTTTTTGACAACGCAGGTTGCGTGTTGTGCGAAACCGGAGCTGTAAATTTGCAGCTTTCCTTTTTTGGAATCAGTGTGGAACGCAAATTGTCTTTCGCTTTTTCAATACTCGCTCGGGCGAAAAAATTTGACGAACAGAAACTCCCTCGGAATGAAACTCAAACTAAAAACTAAATCTAACACGCTGTCGTGTATGCTACTACTTCAAGGAGTTCAGTCAACCAATTACAAAATGGACTCAGAGCGGTGCAATTACCCCATTTCGCGCTGAAAAGGGTTCAAAATTCAGTACAATTTATAAAGGCAATAACGCCACTTTTATTTTATTAACCCAGAATTGGATCTTTATTGACCTTTTCTAACTTATACAACACTACATTCACTGCTGAACGATTAGCAGTGTGTTAGCTGTACTGCCAAGAGATAGCTGTTGTCAGCCGTTCTAGTTTCTTTTTAGAAGTCTAGGGATGCTTGGAAACATTTGTGTCGGTCTTGAAGTTATTATCAGCTGTGTTTGGGCCGCTGATTGGTTGGAAGACCAGTCCATCTTCAAATTTATTGAACCTTGAAAGGATTTCTAAACCTAATTTTCTTGTGTGGACAGGACTCTGCAGACACTTTCGTCCCATTCCTTAAGAGGCTGTACTATAACGCAGCAACAATATGTTTTTCTGTTCTTGTACAGTGTAATTGATGAAAACATTTGATAAAAAAGAGATCTAAAGATTTTTACCCTTTACTAGCACTTAGAAAGTAGATGAAAAGTTGCAAAACGATCTTAATTTTTTACGAGGACAATTAAAACATTTTTTTTGATTTAAGGTTTTGCATACCTGGTGAGCTCTTTAATCCTATTACGCCAGTATAAAGAGCTCAATGGTTTCCTTTCTGCCAGCAACAAGTTCTTCCACACAGAATACTTAAAAAGTAGTGTCCATTTCTTCTGTGTAACTGAATCAGAGTGGCTTTATCAATAATTTTTCTCCATCTTTCTCCTACTATTCGAAGAGTTTCTGGTCTGAATTTAAATTGTCTCGCTACCGACTGAATGATGTACCAATAACTTAGAAAGGTTATTATGGCGGGAACATAGGAACCCACAATTGACCGGCATGCTCCCAACGTCAGTGGCTTCAAAGCTCAGTTGGTAGAGCATCGCACCGGTAATTGCGAGGTCACTGGTTCAAACCCCGTTGAAATCCTGAATTTTTTTCAGGCTTCTTTACGCAATTGCATAAATTGCGTTCACTGCGACGATCATTTCTTCATTTTCAAAAGAAAGCTAATAAGCAATATTACCCTTTTTAAGTGATGACGAGATTCAAGTTCCTCTTCATCTTCAAAAAACACGCCCTCCGATTCGTCCTCTACGAATGATTCAACGACGAAAACGACCACCAAGCAAACGCCTAAAAAGAATACAAACTTCATGTTGCTTACAGTACAACGAATCAGAGAGTGATTTTTAAGACCAAGTTAACTTAAATTATAGTGTCGATCATTGTTTAGTTTGAGATTATCTTGAACATAATAATAAACTTTAATCACGAGGGATGGGGAGAACTCTTATCGTGTTATTTTTATAAGTCCACATTCATTTTTGAATAAAGGAAAACTTTGAAGGGACGTTCTGAGAAACCATAAGTTGGATTAATTCCAAATTTCCCTCTTCATCTTTATAGCGTTCATCATCAAGAAATTTAGTTTTTGATATTTCAGAGCAAAACATTTTATCAGCTGATTACCGGACCGCAAACAATTTTTGTACCTACGTGATGTAGCCTTTTTAAGTGGGAAATAACATCTGTACCAGCTGGTGCCGGTAACTTTGCTCTTTTTATTGCTTACCGTGTCAAATTCAATGATCCTTTTAAGGTTTTTAATGTCTTCCTCTAATGGCCCCCTTTTCATTTAACCTTTAATTTGACGCAGTCAAATAAGAAGAGGAGGAAAATAAGACAAGAACAAACGAACGCGTCAACAGGCTTAAAAAAAAATCGACTAAGACGTCACTCTGTGTTTGGTCAGCCTCTTAATTCTAACTAGAGGTAACGTACTTATGGCTGATAGCCTGTTCCTTCGGAGGGCCGGGTTATCAAGTGTTTTGATCCAATATCCGATGCTATAGCATAGCAGCCATTTCATTCAATCTTGAGGTGAATGAGGCATCATTGGAGGTATAAATTTTGCCAAAGGACCTTACGTGCAAACGACGTCTCAAGTCTTGAGTCAATTTTACCGAAACTGTTGATTAACAAGCTTATAGATCGTTAAGTAAGCGACGTTCCTGTAATTATTTGAGAACATTTTAAAATTAGCTTGATGTTCACGTTAATGCGGCGTTTCCATAGTAACCGATCTTTGACAGCCAAATTTAGCAAAATGTTTCAGTTTCAATTTCTGATTTTACTATTACTTTATACTTGGCTTGGCGTTAGTTTTATCACTTTGGTGTGTACAGTTCTAAGAAAAGGTGATAAAATGACAAAATTAAAACCGTTGAGTTGAATTTACCACAACAGGTTCATTTCTCTGTAAATTTTATTACTTAGGCTTTTTTTTCGCTTTTAAAACATTCTCTTCTGTACAAATCAAGTTACCTCCATTTATAAGGCTATTAAAAAATGAGCAAATTTGGA